TAGTATGCAAATTATCAAGATACACAAGTAAACCAAGCCATGAACATTGGAAAGCCATTAGAAGAGTTCTTGGTTATCTTAAAAAGAAAAAAGAGCTTGGTTTAGTTTACTCAGATTATCCAGTGGTTCTAGAGGGATACACTGATGCAAGTTGGATAACTAGTAAGAGTGATAACAAATCTACTTCATGATGGATTTTTACACTTGGAGGAGGTGCAATAAGTTGGGCATCAAAGAAACAAACATGCATCTCACATTCTACAATGGAATCTGAGTTTATTGCTTTAGCAGCAGCAGGCAAGGAAGCAGAATGGTTGAGAAATTTATTGCTTGTTATAAAGTTGTGGCCACAACCTATGCCAGCCATTTCCTTGCACTGTGATAGTGAGGCTACAATGTCTAGAGCATATAGCAATATTTATAATGGGAAATCTAGACATATTAGTCTCAGACATACTTATATTCGAGAGTTGATCACTAGTGGAGTTATAACAATAATCTATGTAAGGTCTGCAGACAATCTAGCTGATCCTCTCACAAAAGCATTACCACGAGATGTGGTGGAAAGGATGTCATTAGGAATGGGGCTTAAATATTTAAATTAGGCATTGGTAATGGGAACCCAACTTTTATTTAGTCATTTCTAAATTCAAAGTTTAATGGGTAAGAACAAGTTACTATATATGCCTGTTTAGCACTTGATACCCATTCCTACTTTAGTCAAGTGCTGTCTGTTGCGTTTGGAGGATGAGTGTATACTCTTAATGGAGTTGATAATTATTAAATGTCTATAGCAACAGAGACATAAAGAACTCCACCTACATGGTCATAGAAGTGGTGCCGCTTCCACAAGAAGATGTTGGATTCTCTTGTAAATGACCATTATTAGCAGGATGAGCACATGGCCATAAAAGTGCTACATGGTTCTAAACCTCTTGGATTAGATAGACAAATCTTATGTGTGTCATACATTCATGTCTAATATAAGAAGTTATAGTTTAATCCTTGGACACTAATAACTTCATTAGATATGACGTATGTACACTAATAGAAGGTTTAAATCGAGAGACACCTTCTTTAAGCATATTTCTTGTCGTATAGAACTAAATTAACATTTCCAAACTAGTGGGGGAATGTTGAGTAGTTTGCAAATGTTGAGGTCCCACATCAAGGAAATATGGGAAGTTAAAAGAATTTATAAAGGCTTATTTGTTATCAACAAATAGATAAATAAAGTGAAACCCAAGATAAATTGGGCCTTGCCCTTTATATATAGTCAAAGATGGGCACTTGGGCACTTGGGGCTTGACTTCCAAAATATTTATTTTTATTTTCGGATTTTTAATTTAATTTATTAAATTTTAATCTGAAAAGACATGTCTGAATATTGGATAACTTTTGAAAGTCTAAAGGTACCTTTATGAAATGGTATCTTTCTGGAGGGATACATCCCTACAAGTAATGGCTTTTCAATCAATATAAATTCCTAAGCAAAGTCAAAAGTTCTACATCTAATTTGAGAGAGTTTGAGTTCTGTTGTATCCTGGAGGGTTTTTGAATCTTTAAGGATAGTGATATCACGCCTCAGAACTATCTGTTTTTTTTTTCTGATAATCCTTATCTCGTTATCTTCAACACTTTGAGCATCCGATTAAGATTGCATAAACATGGTTTCTTTTCTAGGGTCGGTTCCAGTTTAATGATAAAAGAACGGAGCATGGTCCTAAAAGATCTTAGGTTCAAATTTTTGGTAATTTTTGTGAAGGAGAAGTGTCTTTTGGAAAGAATTTCTTGGACCAGTGGTGTAGCCATTTTTGGCTTAGGAGAGAGTACAACATCTAAATCTAAAGATAGTGGGTTTAGAAGAGGTTCTTTCAGTTTATGGCACCTTGGCAACTACAGAGGCTCTAATAGAGTCAATCCTAGGCTCTACCTACCAACGTGTTAAGCTTCAAAACACGTTAAATGTTTAGAAAAAAAAAATTCAGAATATCAGCAACGCATCAGTGTTTTTTCTTGAAATATTATTGGATTGCAATTGCAAGCCAAGCTAGCAAAACATGGCAAAAAATAGTTAATCCCACCTACTTAAAATAGCTCATGGGCAAGATCCTTTAACATGCAACCCGTTTTCACATATCCATCTGACTCGCGACTTGAATGAGTGGAGTCACAATTATTGAATCGGAGAAATAGATAGGTCACATTGATTATCTAAACTAATCCATGAATCATCTTCCATCTGATTGTCACGTGTAATGACCCCACCCCAACCAAACCCAACCTGAACCACCCATTTTTCACTTCCAAACTTGGCTATATATAGTGATTAAAAATAAATTAATATATAAATTAAAAAATTAAAATTAATAAATTAATCATGTGTTCCTTTGCTTGGTGTCCGAGCCAAAAGACTCAAATTCAGTATTCGAGAATTTTGAATGCATTATATAATAAAAAAAGTTATTTTACTGTTTAAATAAATTATATTAAATTATAAAATTAGAATTTTTTAAATAATTGCACTAATTTAAAACTTTGAATTTTATTTTATTTTATTTTTTGAAAAGAACAATAATTAAAAGTGTTAGTGTGTAAAAAAAATATTAAACCTGAAACATGAAATGCAAACCACGGTCTGCTTTAAAAAGCAACAAATGACCGTTGCACAACCCACCTTGAAATGCACTTTGAATTTTATTTGAAATTAAGTTCTTTTATTGAACAATTTTTGACATGATATTGTGTTGTTTCAGTAAAATATTTGCAATAGTGTGTAATCACGAATTTGTACAAAATAGTAATAAAAAATAAAAAAATAGATAAAATACATCAATTTCACTGCAAAAGCTCTACTTTAGAAGCTGCATGTATACTTGTATCACAAAAAGAAGAAACAAACTCGTAACGGAGAGAAATCAACACTTGCTTAGCCAAGTTAATAGTCATCAACTTTAAAATGTTGATTCTGAGATTAAGATTGAGAGTTCAAAATATATGTAATTCTAAGGGCACTAACTATAAGATGCCAAAAAATAAGGTACCTGGAGAAGTGAACCTACATGGTATATATGATAATAGATTACACCTTGATTCTTCCCAAGTCCTTCCTTGCTAAGAGATATGGCTGGCGCTGTTCTTTCATACTTGTTTCCCCGCAACATCCCCAAAGTTGACTCAGTCCCCGTGAAACAGACTGGCCAGTCTAATGCTAAATTTTACAAAGAGAAGAAAACAACCAACCAGCATATTGAAGCTAAGGAACTCTATGCTCGTCTCCACAACTAACAGGGCGGCGGACGTTAATCCCTCAATATAGCGTCATTTATCCATGGCAGCAGAGCAGAATCATGCTAACTTCCAATTTCTCCCAAGGAAACACAGGCATTGGCGTTTGCTACATTTGGTTGTTCATGATTACATACATCACATGGTCATACAACAGTCTGAAATTCTGAATCCATAGAATTAATAACTTTTATTATTCCCAATTTATTTTTTATGAGATGAACAAGTTTGATACATAACTATTCTATACTAAGAAAGAAAACTTTATAACTTTATATCTGAAATAATATTTAAGAAGATAGACACACCCAAACAACAGCACTCTATCCCTCCTGACAAGTAGGCATCTTTGATTAAAAGTGTTATTAATCAAAACGTAAAAGCAACTCTTCTGCCAATCATCATTACCCTTTCTGAGCATTGGCAACTGAACGGGTCTCCTCTGATCTAGCAGCCGCCTATGGACCATCTTCAGCAAGCTTTTTATCATCCTGTTCTCTACCTTCAGCAGGCTTTTCTGCATCCCGTTCTTTACCTTCAGCAGGGTTTTCTACATCATTTTCTTTACCTTCAGCAGGTTGTTCACCATCCTTTTCTTTAACTTCAGCAGGTTTTTCAGCATTCTGTTCTTCTTTAACTTCGGCAGATTTTTCAGCATCCTGTTCTTCTGTAACTGCAGCAGGTTTTTCGGCATCCTGTTCTTCTTTAACTTCAACAGCTTCACCACTGGCATCCCCATCACTTACTGGAATGGTTTGCTTTATAGTTCCAACCTTCGCATACTTGGTCATGAACTTGTATTCCCAATCCTGTAGGGCATCTAATTCAAATGGACCAAGACCAGATATATCCCCAGTTAAATCATTTTCTTCAAAGGACATCTTTGCCAGAGCTCTGCTGGCATCCTTCCCAGCAAATAATGCATAAGGCCCACCAGGTCCATAAAACATCCTGCAACAAAAGGATGGGTTAATATTTGTCACAAACGGAAGTTTCTTGAATCATTTGACTTACAATTATCATATGAACATGGTTAGCTCTGCTAAATTTTGTCAATTCCAATGCAATTATGCAAATTCCTTAAGAACCACTACTCGAATAGGATTTTTATTCTAGGTAATATATACTTAAAATATTTCTCAAAAACTAGATAATTCGTGTTTTATTTCTTTCATGTCAAGAAATTAAGTTCAATAGTATTTAAAGCCTAACTAAACCTGGAACTTTCAATTACACAAACAATCCCACACCAGAAAATTCATCTACAAAAAAATGGCTCGGCTAAGTACCCAATATAATGAAGTTGTTTCATAAAATTCCCATGTTCTAATCACATCCCACATTATAAATGTAAAGACAGCAACTTGGAAGAGAAAAACAGCAAAGGCATATGCAAAACCCATGAAAAATTGTAAAATTCACTAATTTTAGCCATCTCCTGATTATTGAGTCATGAGAATTAACATCTGTTATGGGAGAAATTACAAGCAGCAAAAGGTGCATAAATTAAGAGTTCAGAATACAGATGATGGGAAAAAAGGAAACTTTCCAGAAAACCCCAAAGCAGACACTGAAAAATACATAAAGGGAAATGAAATAACACTACTTTTCACTTTTGAGTTTTGACCCAGAAAGAAATTAATCAAAAGGATCAAAACCCATTATTCCAATTTCATCAAACATAACAAACCCAGAAGAAAAAAATCTGAAAATTTTGAATTATACCTGCTTTGAGAAACATCATAGATCTGACCCTTGATGGCCATGAGGAGGGGCTTCTCAGGATCCAAGCCATCGTACTGCTTGAGCTCCTCCTCAGTGATCTCGCCGAGCTGGACCGGTGGAGGAAGCGGCTGCGTCTGCTCTTCCAAGGTCCTGGACCGCGGCTGGGGAGCATTAGAGGACCCAAAGAGCCCCGTTATTACGTAGTATATGGCCCAAAACACGGCGAGGACGGTGAAGAAAGTAGCCGGAGAGAGACCCGTGTAGGCTGGTATCGCCTCCTTCAGAGTCTCCCATAATTGCAGAGCCATCGCTGAGGTATCAGTGATCGAAACAACGGGGAAAACTGGAAAGGAGATGGGGATTGGAGAGACAAAATTGTCTGTTGAGAGCTCAGAGTATCTAGGTGTTCGGTAATTTTGCTTTGGATACGGTTTTTCCGACGTACCTGATTCCAATTTTCACATTTTTTAAACTGAAACTTCAAACTCCATTATTCACACCTTTTTTTAATATTTTTTTAATGATACAGTTAAAATAGCTAATAATATTGTAAATTTATCGTTGTAATGTATTACTAAATAAATATAACGTGTATATATATATATATATTTTTCTAAACAAGTTATCAAGAGCGGGCTCGAAACCTGTTATTGGAGAGGAAAAATGCATCTTGAAGTTGGCAAAGTACAAGTTGATTTGAAGGATCAGGTGTAGTATAACGTATATATTTTAATATTAATATCTTTTAAATAAAAATAAAAAATTTTATATTTAAATTACATAGTTATACATATGAGTGAGTTAAAATATAAGATAAAGTTTTTTCATTATATAATTTAAAATCAAAATAAATAAATATGATATCTCATTATATAAGTAAATCTATATAATATTATAAGTGAATTCCAAAATAAAAATAATTAATTATATAAT